GCAAATCTGACATGAAACAGAACATTGCATAAAGACAAAAGCAAATGCGATATGGGGACACCTGCAGCATATCTGATGATGACATATCCGGCCACACCGTAGTTAGTGAATAGGAAAGAGCGATTAAGTACACAAAACACGCATCCATAACAGGCTTGCGCTAGTCAAATGAATTCTTAGCGCTTAAGTTAAATGCTGACGTGGCATCGGCAGCTCGGCCAACAAAGCATTCAGTTAGATTTCCGCATCATCGAATGTGCTCAATCACAATTTCAGATGCAAAGTAGGCAGTTTAACGAGATAAAGACATTGCAAATGCCCATTTAAGTGCTTCTATGAAAGATTTGCTAGATTTGCTACTTCTTTTCAAATAATTTGCCATGGTCTTGACATTTCACAAGACTGACAACGTGATGCTGTTTCTCTATCATCTGTGCCAAGCCTCTACTTTGGGATTATAAGAATATGCTACAAACAATCGCCTTTCCACACACCTACTCCGCGTAGTGTTGCCAATTCCAGAAACAGAGTAGTGCCTATCGTGAAATGATTATAATGCTTGTTCATTTGCTGAGAAAAATGTGCAAATTCACGTTTGAAGTATTATGCTTGGAGTGAGAATTGGGGCGATGTACTTCGGCCGGGGAGAGGACTAAGCACCGAGCACTGAATGCTGGTGTGAACAAAGTATGCATGCAGTACAAAAAAATGCGCCAAGGACATAAGGTAAAATGCAGTTTCTAAAATTAGCTACTTTTCCACAAACCCGCGGCACAAATTTGGTCATGATCATTCAATTCAATTTTTACTTAGCCATTTCACCCTGACTTCTTGAAAGTTATGCCAATTAAGTGCTTAAAAATATTTACCAAGAAATATTTCATTAACACATTATTAGTATCAGCTATTCCATAGTACCTATTACTTCATGAAAATTAGTATTTTGCAAGTACAAAATTGAAATTCCTCTGAAAAGGACGCTCCACTGACTGACGCTATGATAAATGTGGAACAAGCAAGCGTCTGAACTCACCGCTGCAATCCGCCATTGCTGGCGATTCACCTAAACCAATGCAATGGCTTCAATTCCTCCTGGTGGACCATGTGTGCATGGATCTGTTACACAGCCGCCCTTTCTGCATCACACTTAATTTTCAATCACACCACAGTAAAATGCCATTGTTCAAGAAGCTTTTTGATGAAATAAGACAGTGGTCCTGCCTCATCAATCCGGCAGTTCACTTACCGCTCTGTGTCCAATCAACAGTAACGACTAGTCTTTCATTTTCCGATCTCCAGCCAAAGGTGCTATATACACTCGTGTTGCTCCGTGAAATTGTCACGGCAAATATACTCAGGCCGGACTGC